TAGCAAGCAAGAGAGAAACACACTGCTGAGAGAGAGGCACAAAACAGAGAGAGCTAGTGAGAGCTATTTTCTGTTTGTAGAGTGTGAGTGAGTGTGTTATATAGAGAGACAGTGAGTTGAGAGTGTGTAATCTCCTCCATTTGTTGATATATAACAACATCGCTCCCGTGGACGTAGGCCGGTTTGCCGAACCACGTTAAAAGTCTTGTGTTTTTGCTTGTGAGTGTCCCCTGGTGTGCCCTAGATACGCAACAATTGGTATCAGAGCCCAGGTGGAGAAAAATCGAGTTTTTTCCGAAAGTGTCCAGATTTCGAAGTGGTCGAAATCTACTTTTGAGCATACCAGGAGGAAGGTCAGGAGAAGAGGAGTCCAGAACAGCAAAAACAGAGCCCAGAGGAGCTTCCACGCGCCCTCACGCGCCTCTAGAAGCTTGCGCGTGACTCCCAGTCTCATCACGCGCCCACACGCGCCGTTCAGACTCCCGGCGCGTGGTCCCAGTCTCACCCACGCGCTCCACGCGCGGACGAAGGAAGAAGACGCGTGATTTCACGCGTGACACGCGCCGCACGCGCGTACCAAGCCGCCGGAGCCGGAGCCGCGTTGACCGAGCTCGAGCCGCTGACCGAGCCGCTGACCAAGCCGCTGACTGAGCCGAGGACGTCAGCCTGACGTCAGCAGAACCGGAGGAGTTATCTAGTGCGTCTCAGGCGCACCAGATTCAGCAGATCTGAACCGTGGAAACTATTTTGGCTAGATCTAGGCCATTCGGAGTCCGTTTTTGGCGACCCAATAGTGCGTTCCAACTATTTGAAATATTCCGGACCCATCCGTACGGTCAGATTCTTACATCGAAATTTCTTTAAAAAGGGAAGAAATTTACAATGGCAGGAAAAGTTATCTGGTGCTTCTCAGGCGCACCAGATTCAGCAGATCTGAACCGTTGAAACTGTTTTGGCTAGACTAGGCCATTCGGAGTCCGCTTTTTTGGCGATCCAATAGTGCGTTCCAACTATTTGGAATATTTCGGACCCATCCGTACGGTCAGATTCTTAAATCGGAATTTCTTTAAAAAGGGAAGAAATTTACAATTGCAGGAAAAGGCGCAAGTTTCATGATTGAGCCTTTTAATGGCAGTAATGACTTTACCCTGTGGCAGCAAAGGGTGAAAAACATTTTAACACGAGAAGGTTTGGTGAAAGCTCTTCTCAAAAAGTCCAACAAACCGGAAGACATGAAGGATGACAAGTGGGAGGAGTTGAGGGAATTGGCAAACAGTACAATTCAGTTGTATCTCGGGAACAACACACTCCGGGAAGTCATCAGTGAAGTAGATCCGGCGAAGCTATGGGCAAAGTTAGAGATGAGGTACAAGTCAAAGTCTTTGACAAACCGGTTATCTCTGAAGAGGCAGCTATATACACTTAGAATGCTAGAAGGTGCGAACCTCACAAAACATCTGGACGAGTTTAATAGGATCACAATGGAATTGGACACCATTGGAGACAAGACCCAGGAGGAAGATAGGGCTATGATCTTGCTGGTCTCTCTACCTGCATCATATGAGCATCTCAGGACAACTCTATTGTACGGGAAGGATGCTCTTGGACTGGATGAGGTGATTGCAACGCTCATTTCTCATGAGTCGATGAAGAAACAGGAAGGTAGCAGTAGCAAACACCCAGAAGAAAATGCCATGGTTGCCTCAGAAAATGAGCAAGGCAGAGGTAGGTCCAATGATAGACGGGGTAGATCCAAATCAAGAGGACGTTCACAATCAAGGTCAGGCTTCAGGAGAAAGTGTTATTACTGTGATCAGGAGGATCACCTCATAAAAGACTGTGCAAAGCTCAAGGAGGACAAGGCACACAAGGAACAGGCGAACTCATCAAATGTCGCTGCTGCAGTAAATGCTAAGGATGAGTATGCATTTACAGTTTCGTCGAGTATGACGAAACCTGACTGGATCTTAAATTCCGGAAGCACATATCATATATGCATGGATAAGAAAATTTTTTCTACCTACCAAGCCAAGGATGGAGGTATTGTTCGAGTGGCTAACAACACTGTGAGTAAGATTGTTGGCATGGGAACAGTACGGCTGAGAATGGAAGATGGAAAAATTTTCACGTTGGATGGAGTCCGACACGTGCCAAGACTGAAGAAGAATCTAATTTCCTTAAGTATGCTAGACATGAAGGGTTATAGCTTCACATCTAGCAAAGGAAATCTCAAAGTCATCCATGGAGATACGGTGATGCTACATGGACGACTGGAGGGGAATCTGTACAGGCTTGTGGAGAAGGTTGTGACAGACGGAGCTACTGTCACTTACCGGGCAAGACGTACAAGACATGCACAGAAGAGACATAGGGCCCAGCAGACATGGCAACCAAAGTGTACAAGAACGCATGGAGGCAGTTCGGAGGTGCACAAGACGGAGCCATTGCGGCCAATTTTAAAGACAGCTCAGAGCAAAGAGACCAAGACAGCAAAGCATGTCCCAGGGAAGAAAGTTTCTTTTGCTCCTGAATTAGAGACATATTGGGATCTCTCCAAGACTGGATGGAAGAGAGAGATGCCATCTCAAAGAGTTGCAAAGTAAGCTTTGCATGGCACCCCAGTGAGGGGGTGCCGGGCACTCCAGGCAGGGGGTGCTATTATGGATCACCTCATATGGGTTGAGGGGGTGATTTGTAGGAGATCAACCCAAATTGAGTTGGCAGCCACATGGAAGGGTGGCCAACCCACATGGTAAAAGGAAGGCAAAAGAGGTTGGCATGAGTTGGCAAGCCATGAGGCTTGAGTTGGCAGCCATGAGGCTTGCCATGCGCCGGCAACAAAGGAGAAAGCATGGAGTTGGCCATGTGAAGTCTTCACATGGTGGGACAAAGCTTTCAACTGGACAGCAGCTCAAAGGAGAATATTGGGCTGCCCAACACACCCATGAGGCCTCCTCCACCTTCTGTTTAGGTGTATAAAATGGAATGGTGATGGTGAGTTGAATACACGGCAAACATCGCAAGTAAGAGAGAAACACACTGCTGAGAGAGAGGCACAAAACAGAGAGAGCTAGTGAGAGCTATATTCTGTTTGTGTATCAGAGAGTGTGAGAGAGTGTGTTATATAGAGAGACAGTGAGTTGAGAGTATGTAATCTCCTCCATTTGTTGATATATAACAACATCGCTCCCGTGGACGTAGGCCGGTTTGCCGAACCACGTTAAAAGTCTTGTGTTTTTGCTTGTGAGTGTCCCCTGGTGTGCCCAAGATCCGCAACAGCTGTAAGCACTTGGATGTGGTAGTCATGGTGGGGGTGGCCAAATATGGTTGTTGGAAATGGGGGCTGGCAGTGGAGGGATTGCCGGAGGTGGTGGTAAAAAATGAGGAGTGACAGCGAAGACCAGCAATGTGAGTTGGCTATAAGTGACTAGATGTGATAGTCGATAGTATAGATGGCCAGAGATGTTTGCCAAATGTGTTGGCAGGTGATTAGGGGGAAGCTGGATGTGTTGGATGGCATGACAAGGTTGACCGATGGGGTGTGGCAAGAAAAAAAGTCGTTTATACTCCACAAAAATTGAAAATTTTGGAATTGTTGTCACTTTCACAGTGAAAACAATTACCAAATCAAACTTCAAAAACAAGAAATAAGAAATTTACCAAACAAGATGTAAAAAGTCCCCAGTAATCAAATCAATTGAACAATGCACGAAGAAAAATTGTTACAGAACAATCAACACATGGTTATATTTTCCTATTGGATCTCTGTGATACTAACAGATAATGACAAATGGAGTGTTCAAAAGCCCAGTGCATCGGGTACTGAGTAACTCGGAGAGGGACAGGATTTCCATTGTCATGTTCTACACACCTGAAAAAGGAAAAAAGATAGGACCAGAAGATGGATTGGTCGATGAAGAAAGACCAAGGCTATTTAAGAAGGTGAAAGACTACGCAGACACACACTGGGAATATAATCGGAGAGGAATGAAAGCACTCCATACAGCACATGTATAATGTCCTCTTATATATCGTCCTCTGTCTTGTACTTTGTACCAAAAGAAACCTAACTCCAGCTAAGGTACTCATCTATGGATATTGATGGCCCCGTTATATGAATCCTATCTACGTATATATCTTTTTCTATGTGCCTATGCAAGAATAAAATTATATTGGTGTGTTGATAATTAGTATCGTTTTCAAATGTGGTAAAGAACTTATGACATTTTATTTGTAGTTTGATAGTGATAGGACCACAAATCTATAAATTCCATGATTGATAATAAATTTGATGGCTGAAATATAAATACATAATTGTAAAATAGTAAATTCATGTACTCAGTTAAGTTCGTTTACATTTTTATTATTAGCGTGTCGAATATGATAATTATGTCAATCTTATGGGGCTTGCAATATTTTTTCTAATACTCGAAGGAGGTCAATGTAATTCATTCTTATTTTTTATTCCCTACTATATTTGACTTTGTAAAAATAAAATGCATTGGGGGTGTTTTCAAATGTTAGAAAAGACCTTACTGCAAACATTTCATTTGGCATAATGGTAAAATTGTTTCATTGTGACCTAAACATCATTGGGTTCAGATTATGAAAACTGTCTTTGAGCATGTATACATCTAATCCTCCCAGATTTTGCAGTAATAAGAGTCTCATGCACTAGCTAACCTTTTTGTCTCATGGACCTTTCTAAATTCTAAATTCTAAATTTGTCCTGTAGAATCTTCTTATTTCTCCATATTTAGGCCACTATTTCCAAAAATTGTCCCTAATGCACTTCTAACTATACAATATGATGCTAAGAGGCTTCTAGCCTAGTGGCATCTACATGCCTCACATACGAGAGATCAAAGGTTCGACTCTCATCAAAGGTGAGGTTGGGTCGCAGTGCTCTTTTAGCTTATATTTGTACACCTTGCCATCCGTTGCAATCGTTCCTTAGCAGTTCTCCTTCCACACACCCTTAAGAGTAGACTAGACATAAATTGTATTTGGAATCCTAAAAAAGAGCCTAGTGCAAATCCCAAAACGCAAAAATCTTGATAAACAATGGTGTCTCAAATGTGCATTAGAAACAAAAATTTTGAGAACGAATTACAATAAAAATTTGCTAGCTACCCATTTAATTGAAGTGGTTGGGAGGCAAGGCATTACAAAACTTCATGAATGAGTAATGCTACAATGACAATCTTATTTTACCACATCTCAAATACCATTTTATGCTAGTGCAAAAGTCAAATAGCATATTTGTACCTTTTATTCACAATTAAGAGATTCCACCTCATCAATCCTCCAATCTATAAAGGCATATATAAAGCAAGGCATATATAATGCAAGACATATTAAACCTTCGTTTAGCATAAGCTAAAATGAGACTTTTTAACTAAAATAGTCACAAAAAAATAAAATAAACTTTTTAACTCAATAAGACAAAATATCACATCTAAATCATAATCATTTCATTTTTTTTTCCTCACAAAAGTCAAAGTTTGAAATTTTATCCCAAACGAGACTTTTTAGCCCCAAACTAAAATAGCCAAAAAACTAACCCATATCCCAAACGAACCCTAAAAGTTTAGTTTTTTTTAGGCCAAAAGAAAGTTGATCATATAAGAACACCCAAGACCAATGCAACACAACTACAGAATTTAAGAGCTAGTAAAAATAAATAAATAAAAGAAATATTATTCTCAAGAGGGGAGAAGAAAAAAAGGAACTTAATTGAGAAACAGATGGCATTACAATGAAAATTTGGAAACTAGTTGTTCTAAGTGTGTAAAGAAAACTAGGGCATACAACCTCAAACTTTCATCTGATAAGAATGATTACTTTCATCATCATCCTTACCGTCACAATTATCATCAGAAATGAGGGAGCCAGCAAGAACAGCAGAGAGGGTCTCAACTCCAAAGAAGGTCCCAACAATGAGGGGTGTAAGCATGACAAGGGCACCAGGTGGAATCATCTCCTTGATGGAAGCATCAGTAGAGATCTTGACACAGATGGCACAGTCGAGCTTGGCAGTACCCTCCATGGGACCCAGGATGGTGTTAAATTGCCTTTGAACTTCCTCAACCATCTTTAAAGCTGCACTTCCCACTCTTCATGGTCATGGCAGAGAACCAGTAGGGAAGCATGGCACCAACAATCAAACCTATGAAGACTTTCGGGGTGAGAACATCAACAATTGAAATTGATGCGCGGCTCACAAATGCACCAAAGAGGGCCAATGACACCAGTGCAGCAGATCCAATGGCAAATCCCCTGAAACAAATGTAAAATAAAATTCAATTGCAATTCACAGTCAGAAAAGGATGATGAGAGGCAACAAATGCATATTTAGTTCTACAACTAAACAAAAAAATGATAGCACCAGAAGGATATTTTGGCTCAACTTACAATAGGACAATTCACTGCCTAAGGCTGCCAAAGGAGCATATAGCAGAATTCATATACAAGTGCCACAAGCTAAAGTAAGAAAGTATTTGAATCAGGCCTCTAACCATTTGGAACCAAAAAGGGAATTATGTCCAGAAATCTCTAAAACCCATCACTAATTAAGTCTTGATAATATACAAAATTATAATAGCAAGGTGGACCTGTACGGTTGTAGGCGAAAAGGATATCACAATACCTTTCCAATGGCAGCAGTGGTGTTTCCAGCAGCATCAAGGGCATCTGTTCTCTCACGGATCCAGTGACTCATGCCAGCCATCCCAGCAATGCCTCCAGCATTGTCACTAATGGGACCATAGGCGTCAATGGCTAATCCAGTAGCAATGGTGCTAAGCATACCAAGAGCAGCCACTGCAATACCATACATGGCAGCTCCAGTCCGACAGGAATCAGCAACATCTTGCACAGGGCTACAGTATTTAGAAGAAAAAACTGCACAAATTACATGTATGCATTTTGTTGGACAATCTTCACTGTATTTAAAAGATTTAATTCTATTACGTACAAAACAACAACTAGAATTTAAAGAAATAAAGAAAAGGAGAGAATTTGTTTGATTACAAAAATCAAACTTGAAATAATAAATAAATAAATAAAAACAGATTTTATTTTGTTACAAAAACAAAATTAAAATCTGATTTAAATAAATAACAATAACACAAAAATTAATTAAATAACTTACTTGATTTAATTTCTTCGAATTATAATCTGATCAAGTCCAGTGTTTGACACTGTGTCCTTAAGACAGATTCGTCCTCTCCACGGTGCTTTCAGAATTTGGACGTCT